TTATAATCCAAATTTTAGACCTGAAAATTACTTAACCCCTTCATGACTGAGGCCCTTTTTTCAATTTTTGCACCCATGTTATATTCCACATTTTAGGCAATTTTCATGTCGCATGATATAAACGAAACTCTTTATAAAACCCAAAATTGCAGTAAAAGATACACTTAATTTAATCCACAAAAAAAAACATATACTCGCTTTGTTGGTAAAATATAAAAGATGAGGTTGTGCCAATAAATAGATACCAAACATGTCAAGCTTAAACATTAGGAATGCACCGATACCGATACTACTACTACTCGTACTCACCCAAATGCTCCAATACCTTCCCCGATAACGGAACTTCTGGTCAGAGGCAGATTTCCTCTGACCGGCAGTGACGCAAGGGAACATGGAGCCGGCTTCCCGGCCAATCACCATGGAGACAGCCAAATAGCACAGAGCCAGCTTCTTGGACAATCAAGAAGCTGGGTGGTGGGTAATGACACGCCGCTCAGCTTCCTGATTGCCTAGGAAGCCGCCTCCATGCTAGAGGAAGTACTGGTATTGGTATCGGCGAGTACCAAAAGATAAATATCGGTACTCGTACTTGATATGGAAAAAACGGTATCGGTGCATCCCTATGAAAAATTGCATGCACCCATGAAACTGTAAAAATATACAGTATCCCAAATTGTCCAAGGGCGATGCTTTAAAAGCGCGTACAGGTCATCAGTTTACCTCTCAATACTAGCCCTTGAGTTAGTGCTTTCTCTCTGGAGCATGCAGCGATATCTAACATGTGGCGCAATCCTTGTTTTCGTACGTTGGTGTTCACGGGTACAGGGGACTTTAAAAAAATGTGGGGGGGTATTTTAAAATTAAATTAAATTTATCTATAAACATTTTTTCCACTCCCCTTTATTGCTACTGGGAGGGGGGCTCACAAGTCCACTATGTGAGGTGACAGGTACACTTTAAGGTTATGTATGCTGAAAAAGCACAATCTCTTCTCGCTTCTGTATCCGGGGAATGAAAACTCAGAATCTGGAAGTGATGCAATCAGCGTCACTTCCAGCTTCAGTCAGTGGTGAGGATATGAGTGAATGCATGGGCTAGCAGGAGGGGCAGTGGACCCTGGGAAGCAAGGTGGGGGGAATTCTGTTCCGACAGTCGGCTTTACACTGGTAAATAGACCCCTTGAGGCCATAGCCACCAGGAGTCTGTTTGCAGGGGCCCACTGCCAGTGCTTTATGCCTTACGTCACTGGCAGAAAAAGGGTTAAAGTTGTATGTGGGGTTATGGACCAGCACAATTTTCACACTCCAGCAAGGCTCATGTGACTGTGGAAGTGATTGTAGCACCCTGCTAATAGGAGTGCTAAAATATATCTGTAGTTTATGTTCAGTTCAATTATTACAGAGCAATCTGTGAAGCTTTATCTGCCTGTTGCTGGGTGTGGTACCACACAGAGCAGAGCAGCCAATAAGGATTGCTCTGAGCATTTATGTCTCCCGGCCAATCACTGTAGTGCAGTAGCAGTGCTGCATGCTGGGAGAGGAGATAAATGCTCAGTGTGGCTGATGCAACAGTCTCTTCCATCCCCTGGGTTCTCCTGGGGGCAGGTGGCTGCGGAGAGACAGAATTGGCTAGGCCTAAGCCTGGACACTGGGACCTGAGTCTGGAGGCCCAGTGGTCAGCCACTCATGTTGGAGTTGAACATGGACAAGAACCTTGAAAGTACTGCTTGCCAGAAGTTCTCCACACAGATTGCCGGTACGGCTTAAAGGTCCAAGTCTGTGATGGCAGCAGTTACTATGCTCTATTTATAAGAAAAAGGAGTCTACCTCATCCTGGCTGTACCTGACCCTCTCCCAGAGGCGTAACTAGAAACCTCAGGGCCCGGGTACGAGAAACCATGAAGGCCCCCCTGAGAGCATTGGCCTACTGGGCAATGTCGGTGCCTCGGCGGTTACTGGGCTGGGCCCTCTTCCCCCACCCCACAAGTAGCAGAACACCAGTGCCTGCGACCCTGGGGTATAAGAATGAAGGCATGCTGGGACTTGCAGTTCAACTACAACCAGAATGCCTTCATTGCCCCTGTACACCTCTCCACATCACCCAGGGAACTACATGTCCCAGCATGCCCTTATGGTCTTTGTACACCGCCCCCCACATAAATCACCCAGGGAACTTCAAGTTCCAGCATGCAAGCCCCCTGAAGTAGTTCCCTGCATGATATGTGAGAGTTGTACAGGGACAGTAAGTGCATGCTGGGACTTGTAGTTCCCTGTATGAGAGAAGGCTATTTTAATTACTTTCCTCATGAAAATACAATGCCATTATAGTACAGTAACTTTTGAATTAAACTATATTCTATTCTATGTTTCTATAATGACTTTGTATTACTAGTACTTTCATGAGGACAGTAATTAAAATAGCCTTCTAGCATACAGGGAACTACCCCCACCAAGTAAGCCACTTACTTTTTGATTCATGGCTGATATGTGTTCATATGCAGCACTTCATGGATGGCACATAGCACCTTTCTATACTGATTATACTGTATATGACAGCTAACATCTGCACATTTCTTTCTATGTTTTTTCCTATGTTTTTTGGCGGGATTATGACGTCACTGTGACATCAGAGGGTGTGTTTATTGGTGTTTTATACAACTGTCTGTCTATTTATACCTAGATGTGATCACTGTACAATTGTCAATGCTAAAGCCTGATGAAGGGACCCTGCGTGGTCCCGAAAGCGCTTGTTTGGTCATATGACAAAAAACGTCAATAAATGAAGCTTTTGCTATCTTAAAAGGATTGGTGTGCTGGTGACATTTCTACATTTTAGCAGCACCGTCGGATCCCCGTTTGTTATGCCACTGCAGGGGCCCCTTCTTCCTTCCTGGCCCCCCAAGTGGCGGAACGACAGGGCCCGGTCGCATATACGACCGCTGCGACCCTGGAAATTCCGCCACTGCCCTCTCCCTGGAGTTCAGCAATAAAAGAGATTCTGCTGAATATACTGTCTGGACTTCACTTTGTCGATAGCCACTGGAGGTGGTAAGTGCTTTTGGGGCAGCCATGTGGTTAGTAATCCCTAGACAGGCTATGGAAGACCCGATCATCCAGCGGCTCCTTAGGGGGTGAGCGCTACATGATATTTCTTAACAATGAGCTTATCTTAAATACAGCAGCAGCGCCCCAATCTGATTATTGTCAGGGGGGAAAGAAAATACTTTTTTCTCCCTAGTTTTAACAGCGACACACAGTTTTTCATCGAGCGTTGCTAAGCCTGCTATGACTGGCAGAAGTCGCAACCGCGATAGAGCTCAAAGTGATAGGAAGGTGTTGTCTTAAAAACAAAAATAATAGCTAAAGCAGGTGTAACTCAGTAAAAAGTGACCTGGGCCACACGAGTTTGATGACTGTTTCTGAGCTCCTTTTTATCTCAGCACCGTGCTGCATCGTCTTAAGGTTAAAGAACAACTTCAGGATTCTGACAAATTAACCCTTGCAGTGGGGCTACCCCTGCATTGCAAAGGTTGACTGCTCATTTTTCTTTAGGGGCTAAAATACCGATCCTAGGGTCCTACGGCAGTGACTGATCTCCCGTCTCTCTCCTGCTCTGGCTGTGGTCTGTCCCTCGTCATCTTCACATCTAATAGACTAAAATTTACATACAGTACATTAGATCTTTCAGGTTAGTGACCAAGTGCCCACCTATATCTAGAATCTCTCCAACTCTTTTAATGTACCGATCCAATAAATGTTTAGCACATATTACTTTACTCTCTTGTCATTGGTCCTACAATAAGAACAAGAAAAAAAAAAACAGGCACCACAAAGCCTCTGCTAACATTTTCAGGGTTATGGTCTCCTTATCTTGAATGAGCACATTTTCCTTCTCGCAATGCCTGGATTCTCTTCAGAAGGTACTTCTTGGATGCGTTGTAGTTCCTCTCTTGCCCTCTAGGGGATTTTTAAAGATAAGGTATCAGTAGATCTGCATTGTTTTAGAAAAAATGTCACGTCACTTTAAAAAAAAGTATAGTTAATTGGTATCGGCGAGTACTTGAGGAACAGTACTTGTACTTGGTCTTGAAAAAATTGTATTAATGCATCCCTAGTTTGTCCTAGTAATTGTTATGACCGAAAGAGAAAGAAAATAACAAATTTTGGCTTGTCACCAGAACAGGAAGAGGTGGAAAATCTTGCTATGACACTATTTCTAGCGACTACCAGGGATTTCTCTCACTTTGAGGCTAGGTTCAGATCTGAGCGATACCCGGGATGCACATCCCGGGACCGCGCGATCGTTTGCTAGTGCAGACAGCGTTTGTCGCGCGGCCCCATTGATAACAATGGGGTTACATCCGTGCGGCAATCGCTAAATAAAAGGTACATGTACCTTTTTTTGCGACACACTTTTTTTAGTGTTCAATTGCACAGGCGGAATTGCGGCAGGAAACCGCGTGATCCGTCCGGCACGACTGGGGTGCCATTATAAATGGCACCGCCAGCGCGATTGGCTGTGGTGGGAGACTCTGTGACCGCCCAGCAATCCGCGTGGTTTTGCGCACGATTGCCGCGTGATCACGGATCACCCAGATGTGAACCTAGCCTGAAGCAATTTCCTTTTTATTTCCTGTTGTGGCTTTGAGACAGGAAATTAAGGTAATTCTCCCCTCAGATGGCAAAAAAATAACTGACAAAGATTATAACCCCCTTTCACCATATCCAATATAACAATACAAAAAAGTTTCAGCCTTAGGTTTACTTTAATGATAAAGTTCTAGTTTTATAACAAGCACTGAATGTAACTCTTCAAAAAGACAACGTTTTATTGTGAAGAGGATCAGTATATATGATCAAGAGGAAAAAACAAACGAGCTGAGACCTACGCAAGCACGTGACTACACTAACCAGCTAGTATTTACATCAGTCCTCCCAGTACCATAGAGAAAACAAGGCTGGCTGCTAGACAGCGCTCTACAGGAAGTGCGTCATGAAATACGCGGCGTGAAAGGTGAGCGTCGCCGCAATTACTTCCTTTCTTTTCAGGGCGGCCATTGAGCTGTAGCGAGTGAGTAGACCGAGCTGATAGTTTAATCTGGTTCCATCCTGTGTCTTGTGTCATCGCTAAGTGCTGGAAATTCTGCTGTATCGTAGTACAGGGAACGCTTGGTTTCTCTATGGCTGTATATGCGGGATCTCTGTCTGGGTTTATCTGTTTCATGGACGGGAGGGTTCTAGTTAGGGCAGCTCTATGGGTTGACATGACAGGCGTGATGAATGACCGCTCGTGGCCTGGTCTGCAGTGATTATTCGTCCTATGCTCTGAGTCTTGTGTGCATGTTAGGTCTGTAATCCTGAACACAGGTTCTCGGGCGTAGGACTCCCACCCTGGCTTGTCATTCCAGGTACTCAGTGACCGGTCTATGGCTGGCTTGCCTGCTGTGACAAGGTGATCAAATATAAAATGCATCCACTTTGTGTCTAGCTCCATTGTGGAGGCTTTGATTTATTTGTGGATAGTGATAAAGATGTGAGCCCTGACTGGGTGATATTAAAGTATAGGCAGAGCTTGTTTGGGATAGTTTATAGAAGGGTTAAACCACTATAAGAATTTGGAAATTGTACAGGCCAATGTGCCAGTATGTAAACGGCTTGTTGGAGAAAAG